TTATGCTTATTTCATTACATGCCAATATTTTCCCCTTTCTCTGTCACTAGAAGAAAACCACGTGGTTTTTTGGTAATTAGTAAGGTATTGTTAACAAAGACAGTGTACCATGAACGTATATATAGCACACCTAAAAATACCCTCTAGCAATAAAAGGTATTTTCTTTTTTCTTTGCATTCCTTTCATTTTGTATTTCACTTCCAGTAATTCCAAAACTTTTTATAATTGAAGAAACAAGGCTTGAAGAGTCTACATAGACATCACAGTTTGATATTTTCATATCAGATTTTAATAAATGAGATATTTGAATAAGAAAGTAATGTTGACAAATATGTGACGTACTTCAAATAGCAGCTTTGCTAATGTCACATAAAGGAACATTCCTGCAGCAGAATAAATTTTGACTGTATCTAGGAATGCAGCATAGCCAGGAATTTTAGACCAGACCTCTGAACCAAGTTTCTAATACTTACTAACAGCCACAGTAATATCCTGAATATCTTGGTTCTCTCAAAAGAGAAAGATAAAACTGCAAGCTTATCTTTAAGTGTAGGGCTGCTTTTGCTTCAGAAAAATTGGACTTGTGAGACAAAAAAATTTGATCAGATATTTACTTTAAAGAAAGATCTGAAGACACTTCTAGAAGAAACCTAAGGTGTGACTCAAACATTACTTTTTCATTGTAGAAGAGAAAAAATTATAGTCTACATATTAAAGATTGAACTCTTGAATTGTACATTCTGGGTTGTTCTAAGGATCAATGTAGCCTTCTCAGATGAATGAAATAATGTTACTCAAAGTCAGAAAACAAGACACGTAAAAAGAGTAAGAGCTACATTAAGGTCCTACAGTGGACAGACTTTGTAACTAAGAGATAAACTCAGTAAATACCTTTAGGTACCACAACAAGATGAGAGAAAAACTGTATGCTCTTTTACAATGAGTGGTATGCAGAATTTATTGAAAATTTAAAGATTTTCATGGACTGAAAATAAAGATTGCAATGAGATTACCTACAGACAACTGCTGACATTTTTCCTGCATACATGCATTCAGATCTATTTTCTGATCTGAAACAGAACAAAAATATCTGCAGAACCATCTTTTTAATTTCACAGCCCAATTATACTCAGTACAAGAAGACATAAGGAAGTTAATATGGGTTAGAGAAAGATCCATTATTCTGACTGATCAAGCAGAAATGAAAAATAAAATAATCCAGAGTGACAATTTCAGATGCAAGTGTTGATTGTGCCAAGCTGACATTACCAAGATGGCCACAATTTTGCTGCCTTCAATCTTTAAGATTTACAGTTTCAAAAGAACTTCATGGATGTATATAACAAGGCATAGAGCTATGATATTAGAGAGGCATCTCCCTGAAATCCCAAACTCCCCTCTCCTGGAGTGAATGATCTTGCACATTTAGTGGTCCTTGTTCATGGTCAAAGTTATATGAGGAATATCTCACAAAGAAACCATCACCTGATTATCAGGTCTTTAATTTTTCATTTGTGGTATCATACAAAACACCTACCAAACGTATTCAGATGATCAAGAAAATGACTAGCATCTTGCCATGACACAGTTACATACAGTAATAACTTCCTTGTGCAATGGAGTGGACTCTTTTAGTATAGAAAGTTTAATGGTAGTAGCTGACATTATTTGGATCCACTGACCTCCAACTTGAGGTGAAATATAATGCTATAAAAGCATGATCATTCACTCTGAACTCAAGAACGCTTCTATGAAATCAATGTTCTTGCTGCAAATAAAACTGTGAAAATAGGCCACGCCAAAGCTGCATTCACAGTCTGCCTTATGTATACTGGAGTGAGAGAAGAGTTTCCATCAACTTCTTGCAGGTTCTTCCACCAGTTAAAGTTCAAAACAAATAACAGAATCTTTATCCTTACATTTTAGTTGCAGGCAACCTGATATTAAGGTATCTTCTGCCATCCATGCAGGCAACATACACGGTTTTGTTCACACTATAAGGCCATCTGATCCCAAAGCTAAAGCACATACTTACCATTATATGTGGACTGTTCTCCAGCTAATTAATCAGAAAATGTTGTCATATGCTGTCAGTCGGATAATATAGTGTTGTGGTAGAGTTCAGTGGTTTTCTACTTGATAGAAATACACTTCTTGAAAATCGGGATCCCTGTTTCAAATCAGGGGATGTAGGGAATTAGCAAACACCAAGAGTAAAACTGCGATCCCCAAATATAAAAAGGAATTTTCTCTAATCCACCAAAAGTTACAAGAGATTGATTCTTCTTTGGTAGCAGACTATTGAGGTAGAGGTAAAATGATGAAGATTTTAGAATTAGAATAATTATTTTGTTGTATTAATCTCCCACTCTCATCTGAATGATAATGAATCATTGCAAGTTTCCTGAAGAAAACATAAAAAGCACCAAAATTGAGTAGGGAAATACTAATGCCTTATTTAGATGGCAGTTCCTGATTTAGAAATCCTGTAAAAAGCATTTTGATTGTTTCAAAGAAGGCAACAGAAAACTACTAGCTGCAGTTACTATGAAAATGGGTTCCTTCTGTATATTGTATCTTTCTGTTCAGCCAGAAGACCCTTGACCTCAGTAAGCATGATAAAATAATTCATTGCTTTTTGCTGATGATTCTTTTCAAAAACAAACATGAGACACATAAATGCCCAAGAATATAATATAGAAGGAAACACTCAAATGCGCACAAATCCTCAATTATTATTGAACTACACATTCTTTTAAGGTGCAGATCTTCCATGAATTTTCAGAACAAGTTGGCAATTCAGAGGATTATAATCAAGACATATGATGACTTGTAATTGTTGTCACTGTAGATCTGGAAAAGGAACAAGGAACCTCTCAGTGAAAAAACAGCTAGCTAAAGCAGAAAAAAAGCTGTAGCAGAACACTGCTTCTGCTACTCCTTGCTGACCATTATTATTCAAGGTTCAGCTTTTAACAATCTAGGTAGGAGACAAGCCTCAGAGACTTTTCCAAGAGAGACAATTTTGATCTGTTCTTTCTGGATTTTGCCATTCTCTTTACACATTAGTACTCCTTGTCTCTTGAAGAATTACAGTGCATCATCTATCATTAAGGAGACGAAAGGACATTAATGAGCAAAATAAAATGATTTTTTTTTCATTCAGACTAAGATTGTGTCTAATCTGTGATCCTATATATTACTTAAATAATTCTAGGATAGAAACCATCTGAGAAGGGGGTGGGAATTGCACTTTTACTATAATTATTTCATTTACTGATGGTAAATTAATGATTTACTTATGGTAAACCATACTCTTGAAAAACTTGTAGAAGATGCCCTGAACTTCAGAACCAGTCATTTTGCCTTTGCTATTTTTTCTTAGCTTTCTAGGCAGAGACAAGAGGAAATTCAGCTTCCACTCAATCCATAAATCAAATCATCCACAAATTAGAAATGTACAGTTCTAATAAGCATGAGACTATAGTTCCAATTTCAGACCAAATGAAATGCAGTGATTAAAAGTTACTGAGCGCAGTCCATTGTAAATTTAACCAAAGAAGAGAAAAGTAAAGTAAATCCATATATTACGAAGAACTTAACCAGAACTGTGCAACAGCAGAAATATGGAGAAGTTTATTATCTAACTCCAATGAATGTTCTTTCTGTTCTCTTATTTTTGCTTTTAAACACAGAATAATACTGTGAAAACTGAAGAGAATTTACAGTAGAAAAAACAACAACAACAAACACCTCAAAACCTAAAGAATCAAATGACCCCAGACCTAGGAATAAATGATACCATTCAAATTAATTATTTCCAGTTAGGCTTGAAAAGATTTGCTATATCCATGAATATAAGCACATTCTTCTAGTTTCAAAGATAATGACACAGCCAGTCCAAGAAAAACAATATGAATAATTTCTGATCATTTTAACTTTCTTCATTATAACAGGATTTCTCACTCTTAACTTATTTCATGACAGTTCTTTAACAATATAATTTTCCTTTGATCTAACTATGAAATTAATTATTTTTTTTATCATTTAAAAGCAAGTTTTCAGAATTTTCAAACCCCACCAACCAAAAATGTAGAGGATTCATCTCATTTGAAGACCAATGCTACAGAAGCCAATTGATAAGTGTACTGTGAATTTCAACACGTGTATTATATTTTATAGTAAAATCTACTTCTATTTATATCTTAAATACAGTATCCCTTTAAAAGAAATAACTCACTCTGCAGATCATATAAACTAGCTATCAAAGACATTTGTTTCAATACATCAGATTTCCCAAACACTATACTTTTCTGCTACAAGTTTAGCCTAAATAAAGCAACTCGCATATGAAATTTGAAGGGACAGAAGTAGCTAAATGCATGGTTGACTGACACTTTCTTGCTCCTGAAGTTTTGATCTGTGAAGAAGAAAATATTTTGATCCTGTTTAAAGCTCTATATACAGATAAAACCTTCACAGCTACAATCACACTATCACTCTATTCAATTCTTATCATCAGAACAAATATATTAAAGTTTTGCTTTAATGAATCCTATTACTACTGCAGAAACAATGTCAGGTTACTTAGAAATCTTCCCTTCTTCATCTTTACTGATGGTTACATAATGATTTCTAATTACATTTTTCCAACTTAAAATTCATATTGGAGTATGCTGACCACACAATGATGAAAGTAGATGTGTACCTGAATCATCGTAATTTCAAAACCTACAGTATCTAAATATGAGGCATTTCTGTAAAACAAAGTTTGGTTTATTCAAAATATAACATTCAGGAGAAAGTATACTTTAATAATATTGGTCATGAAATATGAGAACCCTTTGTTGAGCAGCAAAAAAAAAAATTAGGAATAATTTTGTGTATTTATGATAAATGTATTTCACTACCAAAGACAACAGCAATTCCAGCTTAAACCCACAGACCTATAGTTTTATAAAGCTTTGTTGACAGGCAAAGTAAGCTTTTTTTTCTATACCTGGAAGTTCTCTCTCTTCAACACTGTATTTCAGAGATCCAAAGGAATAATTAGCTGGACTGATTGCAGGAGTAGAAATAAAACTTGTACAGCCAACGGATGAGTTGACTTCAAAATAATTGTGGCTGTGATTCATTCGGTGAAATTCCAGAGAAGATACTATTGATGTGCGCTGCTTGGGCTACAAGAAAAATAGAAGTTTGGAGTGAAAAATACAGACTTTTTGTATAGTTTTCATTACTTGACATTTAATAAATTTACCTAGGGTTTCTCTCTTTTTACTATTTTTATTGGGCTCAAAGGTTATACTAGTAAAAATCATTTCATATGACAAGCTGTGGTGTGTAGAGATAATTTCCTTCCAAAATTTGGATTAATCTTTATTAGAAAAAATACATGTCTTCATTCTAATCAATTTAATTCAAAATAAAATAGGTTTTTACAGCCTTGCATATAATAATTGCAATCATCTTTTGATAAGAAAGGGAGCTCTTCACCAGCTGCATTGCTGGGTACATCTTGCAAAACAATTAGACCGCTGATGCCTGTATAATGACATTTACAAAATAATACCCAGCACTCATCACTCGAAAGCAACCCTCTGCTGTTTATTCAATTTATGAAGGGCTGCCTTATATATTCAGACTGAAATGTCTAAAAGCTTAGGGGAAAAATATCAGCTTAAAAAACATACATGAAAATCAAACTTTCTTCATGAGTTTTCATGGAATAGTGAAAGACTTGATACTAGTTTGTATCAAATATTTACTTTTGAAGTGAACCTCTTCATTGACCCCACTTAATGGCTGTGCTTTGGATTGCAGAGCGGCTTCAGAGCATGAGAAACTCATTCCTTTTGGGTGGATCTACACTATGAGGTACATCACAGGATTGTACAAAATGTGCTCCAACTCCTTATGGTCTTTTGACCATAGGACCACACTAAAGCTAGCCCAAATTAAAACCAATGAAATCTATATAGTGTGATCATCAGGCCAGCAACAACTTTTTCACTACATAGATCTGTTCCCATTGCACTGCACTACTTATTAATATAGACATAACCTTAGTGCTTGATGTCATGGACTATAAGCCACAGACCACTGACGGTTTGCAATGTCACGCTAAGTAGTCTGTTGCAGCACTCATCTGGCTCCATACCCAAAATATCCTATCCCCACGATGCTCCTTGCTGCTTCAAGACCAATGACCTGAAACATCTCCAAAATAGAGGAGGCCCTGCATCCAGGTGTATAGCTGTCTGTATATTTATTTCACGACAGTGAAAAACATCTCAGGAACTGCTGTCTTAGATAACTAAAGCTGGGAAAAGTAAATAGAAAAAGAGAGTAAAGGGTGCTTCAACTCGTCTTGTTTTAGCATGTCAGGCTTAACAGGTCAGAATATTTGTAAAGGTCAAGAATTTGCTACTTATTAGTGTCAAGACCAAATTATTGTCCTGGGAGCAATAAGATCTTCCTTGGACCTTGAAGCTATTCACCATCCCTTATTTAGAACTACCTGTTAAAGTACAATCTATCCCAGTGGAGTAGTTTTCAATTTTGTTTGTGGTCTATTTCATTTTTAGGTTATGAGCCCTGCAATGTTTGTGTTACAAATACAGAACTAGACTGTTTCCACTAAAAATTCACTCTTTCTATCGGAACGTCAGACAAAAACTTAAATAGACTTAGGCTTGCATAATGTTGATTGTTTGTTAAAGTTGAGTTGGGCACCAAATGAATTAACTGTGTCCTCTTAAAACTGAGAAAAATTGCAAAGGGTAAATTTGGGCATTCATCTGGAACTCATCTACAGTCTATTGATGGGATTTACTTTCTTTAATAATTATAAACAGCTTCTGCTTTGAAAGGCTGACTCCTAGGGCTAGTGATTTCATGGGAGAGTTCAATGAACAGGGACAGACTCCAACATCAAACAGTCTGGTTAAAAGTCATTGTTTGGGACCTGAGCCAAAATAACTCTCTGATCAGACCAAAAATATTCATGTGTACTAATTAAACCTAAACCACACACTTTTGCTAGACAACAAACTCATCAATGACCTAATTATTTCTAAAACTGAAAAAGATCTCCGGTCATTTAGAAACATGTTCCTGGCCCTTTCCCAAGCAATGCTGTCTTTGTGGTTTTGCAGGAATTCAGCTTCTGACTTGAAAAGGTGACACTTCAAGTAACACGATGTGCAGGATCTCTGATTACTCCAAAACTGAGACAGTTCCTACGTAAAAAGGCAGCTGGGATGGTCCAGCTCAGTCTTCCTAAGCAGCTTCAAAAAATGCTCTGGCCTTTGGCCAGTCAGGTCTCCAGCCACTGCTTCAACTGTGTGCCCCCTTCTTGGAGTCAGAATAGCAGTATCTGATGCATCATACAGCTTTTTACTAACTTATGGATGATCAGCTGTTTCACTACTCCTTAGTGTAGTGTTACAAGCTACTGTAACATCTTTAAAAAGTTTCACAAAAACACCTGCAAGGTCTTGGTGGGGGGCAGAGAGAGGGGGGAAACAAACCAAAAAAAACCCAAACTGTTCTGAAGCATTTTTAAAGATCAGTTTAGTTTGCAAATGATTCTGAAATTGTGTCCATCAATAAATAGCTATGATTTGCTCTGGAGACATGGGTTAATGATATAAAATAAGTCTAGAGTGATTTTCAAAGATGATTACGGAAGCTAGAAACATGTTTTCTGTTTGTTTGTGCTAACATGCAACCATCTGCTGACCTGGGTGATACGAAATACCTCCTATATTATTTTGGGCTTTGACATTATTATTATTAATTCAGACAAACATATCTCAGTTTAGTATGTCTTTCCAATCTAAGGGCTCTGTACAGAACCTCACGCAGCCTTCTGGGTCCTGTAAAATGTTACGTTGTTAAAGTATGCTAATTGTTCATTAATATATGCTAAGAGAGATGCAGGAAACCAGTTTGTGTTTACTGCCTCCCTCTGTCTGTGTCTCTTTAAAGTACAGTTTGCATAAAAATTGTAGAAAGAGTTGGTTTTTTTCTACAGTTAGGATTAAATTCAGTTCCAGATTTAGATAACTAAATTTACAGCATAGCTATTTACATCTACACTAGGTATCTAAGCTCCCATTCCAGTCAACCGAGATCTAGTCAATACAATCAATAGAGTCCAGAGAACAATTCACCTCACCCAGTCACCTTGGTTCACTTGCCTTAACACAGGTATCCACCATCACTGGAGATCTCACTTCTAGCTCACATGTAGACACTCTGGATACCTTACTTCATTTGTTAGAATCTGGATCCAAATTCCAGCCTTACTGGCAGAATGTATAGCCAGCAATTAACAAGTCACTTACTGGAGTCTTGTACCCTGGTTTCCTGGATTGCATCTTTCAAAGCTATTCCTTGAGATCTCTCAAGATAGGTCCTGAATAATTCTAAGACTATTTACTATATGCAATACCATAATATCCAGGAAATGTAGTCGGGGTCAAGTTTTTATATCTATGAAGATTGTACAAACACAAAACTCTGTCCCAAAGAGATGATGCTTCCTTCATTCTTTGTACCAAAGCCAGCTTTGTCAGTCATTATGTTACATGTCTGCCTCACACTACTCAGAAGGTCTGCACACGCTTAGATAACCCTTGTGAAACTGTAGCATACTTATAGCTTAACTTCACCCCAGTGTGTGTGCTACATAACCACATGCAGATTTGTCCTTAAGTAGATTTTCTTCATTCATTACGTTCATGTATTTAATTTACTTGTTATGTGTAAATCTCTTTAATGACTGATTTTGTTTACTTTAAAATGTTTCTTCATGACTATTATTTCAATTGTCATAATACCGACCTAGAAAACCCTAGACTATCCTAAAACAGCATACCAAATCAGGCTAATGAAGAAACCTTATCATCAATGCAAAAGCAAAAACATATCAATAAAAATCTTTAAAGGTATTGCAATAACAAGATTTAAATAACTTTCAAATCAGGTCTAATAAGAAGTATATTTTCATGTTAAGTCAGTGGTGAACATATATCAATGAAAGATACCACTTTGAACACTGCAAACCAGGAAAGGCATCAAAATACACATACTGAATTGCCCTTCTATTAAAAAGACAAGTAAGGACTTAATGTTCCCATGAATGGAAGTCGCACGCAAATTCTGTAATGCTACCATGACTTGCATGTAACAGTATGAGCATGCAAGGGATCATTCAAGTATTTCTCACAACATTTAGCAGATGGAGTAGGGCAAAATTCCTTTCTCAATTTAACATCAGAATATTTCTCCAGCCTTGAAGTACTCTGCAATACAAGCTTGTGGCTGTGCCTTCTTTTATCTTTGGGATTTCTGTACGTAGCACCATCACAGTCTTTAAAGAATTAATTCTCAGAACACTCCTCTGCACTATGGCAGAGTTATTAGCCCCATTTTACAGATGCTGAACTAGGGTATAGAGCTCTCCCAAGAGACAGATGTGTGGCTCATTAAATCACTGAGAACCAATGAGCCTGAGGAAATTCTGCATTTGGCAAATCCTGCCAAATTCCAGCTGCCCTACGTAATGTAAAAACTGGTTTCGGTTGTATTATACCATGCAGAAAATATATGATAGAACAGAGAACTGAACCCACATTCTGAAATTCTAGCTAGCACATAAAATACAGACTTACCAAAGAAAGTAAGAGGCTGTAGCCCCTTCCCCCAGGCTCATCTCACATACATAACACAATGTGAGTGTAGCCATGTGGCTGCATAAATCCCTCATTTTGGTACCTGCCCAGATGATTCCATGTTTCTCATTCTCTGATCAACTCACTCCTATTTCAGAAATTTTCCTTTCTCCAGCTTCCTTCTTTCTTAAGATCCCATTCTCTTTCTACACACTCATTTTCCCTTTGACCCCTTTCTTTTTCTCAGTTTTCTCCTATCTATTGTTATATTCCCTCCAAAACTACTTACTTTACTCTAAAACACCCTTCACAGTATCCTAGCTGATTCCAGTCCTACTTGGTCTTCCAAAACTTGCTTCTCTGCTTTCTCTGTGGTTTTGTCATCAAGGTCTCTCAAACGAACTCCCTAACAGTCCTATCTCCCACTGACTTTATCAGTCACTACATCCCTCTCATTGTCCTTCAATGCATCCAAATTTAACCTCTGTCCTCCCTTTCAA